TTTCCTTTCCTGGTTCATCTCTAACCTTGAAATCTGACCCCCCCACCAACAGGTCTGACAGTAGAGGGACTGCAGCTCATTTCAGTCATGCGTGTTTAAACTTTTCTTTAGGTCGAAATCAAGACTAAAACGAACCAAACGTCCTGAGAGTAAAGCTTCCAGGTGGAGAGGAGTCTCCATCTGCCTCTCAGGAGCCCCTGAAGGTTGAATGACTGGACCAGAACCCGGCCTCCAGCACCGGAACCCGGCCTCCAGCACCAGAACCCGGCCTCCAGCACCGGCAGACGGCGGAGGTCCGGTCCGACCCGCTGTCAGGAACTGCGGGTTTTCTGGAAGGAAACAGGAGCTGAAGGTTTTTGTTTTACTCACGTTTCCAGAGGACGATCCGGCCGGAAGTAGGGTCAACCGCAGCCAGGTGGCGGATGTGACGGACAAGGGTCGCTGTGATTGGTTCAACCAGCTGTCCGTTATTTTACGTCCTTTGAAAAAGTGGCGTCATTTGTAAAGTGTAAAAGTTAAAATGCTGTTTTTATTTCAATTTGCCCACCGAGAAAAGACAACCCTCCCAATATGGCGGAGTTATTGACGCACCAGGCCATAGATATAAGAGTAGACCCCGCTTCGATGCCTTTCGCTGACATTATTAGGCGGCGCCATCTTGGGGCGGTCAACAGTTCCGCTCAGTGTAATGTAACGAGCAGGAACAGAGTTAGCTTTAATTTTAAATTTTAAACAAATTTTCAGTTTTATTTTTTTTTTTTTGAAAACAAACAAATGGTTCAGTTTATTTAAATATTCTTAGTGGGGTTAAGTAGAATATTCTGATAGGATCGATGTTGCAAAGCACAGCCACTCAGACACTTTTATAGATACAGAAACATATTTATACAGGTATACACAAATATCTATATATACATCTCTCTCTTCCTCCATATATATACACTGTACAAATATGAATTACTGTAAAAATGTTTACAGCTGTATATCATCTATTTTTCAGATGCACAGTATTTATATTTGTAAAAACATTGTACAGTACAGTATGTTTATTTTTATACTTATATAAATTAATATATTTGTTATATTTTATGTGAATGTTATTTTTTTCATGTTTTAGCTTTTTTTTTTGTTTTTTATAGTTATATTTCTTTTGCCCTGATGTCAACAGTCTGTTGATTTAAACAAAATTTAAACAGTGTTGAGGAATCCTTCTGTTCTGCCTAAAGCAACAGGTTAGGGTAGCAGGTTGACCTCCCCAAGATGGCGCCTGTAATTTCTGCTCTGCGACAGTCAATGCGGGGTCTACTGTTATATTAAGGCTCTGTTCGAATTAATGGCTGCATCCTCCAAGGACCTTCGAAGTCCGTGAAAATAAGGAGACCGGAAGAGTTTTGGCTGTGAATTCAAACAGGTCTACCCTTTGACGGGTTTTACCGCCGTATGCTCTGTTG